TGAAGCAAGCTACTGCTACTATCGACATTCACTTGATCCCTATACAGCTTATGCCCCTTCTCCTTATGTTGGATATGGTCCCCTGCAGGCAAATGTAAGGAATCGTCCTAGATATCGCCCTCTTGATACACAGCTAACAAACTCTCAAGGGCCTCCTCAAGCTCTCTACAATAGTAATTTGGTGCTTCCAGACCCCAAGCTTATGTCACAGGCACAGATTTAAGCAATACCTTTTATAACCAAGCCTGGTATCCAGACTCTTGAGCCACACATCATGTTACACCAGATCCTGCAAATCACATGAATGCAGTTTCCCTTCCTGGATCAGACCATGTCCAAATTGGCAATGGTCAAGGTTTGTCTATAAAATCTCTTGTCTATTTATCCTTTAACTCTCCCTATTACCCTAACACCACCCTTAAACTTGGAAAACTTTTACTTGTCCCAACTATTACTAAAAATCTTGTTAGTGTAAGCCAATTTGCCATGGATAACGCTGTGTATTTTTAGTTTCATGTTAATAAGTATTTTGTGAAATGTCAGGCTTCCTCTAAAATTTGGTTAAGAGGCTCCCTGTGAAATGATGGTCTCTACAAGTTGGACAGTCTGGATCCAGCCACTCCCAAAGTCTCAACTCATGATTTTCACACTTCCAACTCTTCCTCAAATAAAGACTCGCCTCAAGCTTTTCATGTCTCTTATTTAAACTTAGATTCTAAGCATACTATGCCATCAAATTGTAATAAAAATCCTAGTTTGTACCAATTATGGTATTATAGGTTGGGACATCCCCACCATGAAACTCTTAGGAGTGTTCTCGCTCTTTGTAATATTCCCTTACCTAATAAAAATTTGTTTGATTTTTGCAATGCTTGTTGTCTTGGTAAAGTACACAGGTTTCCTTCTCATGCCTCTAACTCTACCTAATCTAAGCCTCTAGAATTAGTCTTTTGTGACCTGTGGTGTTCTGCCCATGTTCTCTCCTCTTGTGGATTTACCTACTTCTGCACTTGTGTTATAATGTTTTTAGTAGATATACCTGGATATATCCACTTAAACTTAAGTCCCATATTACTGCTACCTTTAAACAGTTCAAAACCTTAGTTGAACTACAACTTAATCACAAAATTAGTGTTATTCAAACAGATGGAGGAAGAGAGTTTAAGCCTCTCACTCCATACTTGTCTAGCTTAGGCATCATTCACAGACTAACCTGCCCATATACTCACCACCAGAATGGGTCTGTGGAGAGAAAACACAAACACATTGTTGAAACTGGCCTCACTCTCCTTGCCCAAACCAATCTTCACTTATCATTTTTGGATCATGCATTCCTAACAGCTACTTACCTCATAAATAGACTCCCATATACCACTCAAAACAACAAATCACCCTTTTTCACTCTAAATCTCCAATTTCCTGATTACAAATTCCTCAAACCTTTTTGCTTTGCATGTTTTCCCCTACTAAGACCCTATAACTCACACAAACTTGATATGCATTCCAAGGAGCGTGTGTTTATTAGCTACTCACCTGTCCATAGAGGCTATAAGTGTCTTGCACCTAGTGGAAGAATTTTCATCTCTAAGGATGTGCTCTTTAATGAAGTTAGATTCCTCTATCTTTATCTATTCCATTCACCCTCTCCCACCTTCTCTAATCAAGGTAATTCTTCCTCTCCTAACTTCTCACACTACTTGTAAACTACATCCACTTCTTCTTTATCCTCACCACCAACTCCCACTACATTACCTCCTACATCATCATCTATAACATCTTCATCTGCAGCATCTTCTTCCACATACCCTAACCCAACTACACCTATTTCTAATCTTCCCTTTTACACCTCCTCACCTTTTATCTCTCCCCCATCTTCCAACCAAAATGTCACTCCTCCATCTTCAAACCAAACTAACATTTCTCTGCATGTCCAGACTCAGCTTCAAGTAGCTGATTCCACTCCCAGCACTGCACCTTCCTCCTCTGATTTGTCCAGTACTCCCAGATCCTCAAACACCCAGTCTCCCCTAGCCCTTATGCCTGCACCCATAATCCACCCTCTCAACACTCATACTATGCAAACCAGAGCCAAAAATGGCATAGTTCAGCCCAAACTTCAGCCAACTCTATTACTCACACATGATGAACCCACATCTTATAGACAAGCCTTGATTGTTCCTGAGTGGTCTGCAACTATGCAGGCAGAATATGATGCCCTTATCAAAAATAATACATGGACTCTTGTTTCTCCACCTGCACATAGACAACCCATTGGTTGCAAATGGGTGTTTAGAGTGAAAGAAAATGCAGATGGAACTATCAACAAGTACAAAGCTTTGTTATTAGCAAAGGGTTTTCATCGAATAGAGGGGTTTGATTTTACTGAGACATTCTCACCAGTAGTGAAGCCTATTAGAACTGTGCTCACTCTTTCTATCACACAAGGTTGGCCCATATAGCTGCTTGACATCAACAATGCCTTTCTAAATGAAATTCTCAATGAGAAAGTATACATGGTGCAGCCGTTGGCTTTGAACAGTCTGATTCTACATTAGTGTGTAAGCTTAATAAATCCTTATATGGGCTTAAACAGGCCCCTAGAGCCTGGTTTGATAGGTTAAAGGGGATCCTTACATCTCTGAACTTTACTGCCAGCAAGTGTGATCCATCCCTGTTTATGTTGCATACTCTTACAAATTGCACACTAGTATTGGTTTATGTGGATGATATAATCATCACATAAACTTCAAGGCAGAAAGAGGAAAAAAGATCTCTACGGAGAAGGCATAAATAGGAAAAAGGACCATCATGTTATAATAAAGGAGGGGTAAAAGTAGAAGTACAACAAATGGGAACGGGAGAAGACCAGCAGGGTCACTCTTTCCAAGGGTAAACAACCCTTCATAATAACCTGGTCCTCATCTCCCGGGGAAGAGACGCTCAATCCCTTCAAGAAGTTACGGGTCTTTTCCTCGAAAGAAAAATGGAGACAATGTCACTTGCTCCGCTGGGAACGATGAGGAGGAAGACATTTTGTTACCGAAAAAACAATAGAACAAAAAGAAGTCACCACCACTGTCGCGACCATCAGAAAAGAATTATTTTCTCAAGAATCTTATATTTAAGCACCAAAAGGTCTCTACCATACAAACAACCTAAAATATGGTATACATAATTAAAGAGGGAAAGAATCGCATACCTGTAAAGAAAATTGGAGGCCGCACTGAAAAATATAATAGGAATAGCTCGAGCAAACTTGCAGAAAGTAAAAAAGATTGTAGAAAGCAAAATCCTTCTTATAGGAGAATTCCAAATCCTTCGGAATTTCGCGAAACTTTGCACACTACCTACATATACCACTATCGTTTGCATTTTTGAGATTGATTTTATTAAATGAATGAAAACATGTTCACATCAATGATTGGCTGACATGTCAGATGGCCTACCATAATTAAGTGGTGGACACTTGGACGCTGATCCATCATACGGGGATTACGGCCAATGACCTGCCTACTATTGCATGCGCCATCAACTGAAGGATTCATCTACTATTTCACTCGCCCTTATTGACTCTAGAGATATAGTTGATCAACAACCTCCCTAAAAAAGGAACGAACGAGACCACGTCCAGGAAACCATCAACACTAAAAAATTCATATAAATACCTCACACATCAAGGGAGAAAAGGGAGATCAAATCATACACATTATCACAATCCATTGTTACTTAGAGAACACTCCACTCTGGATAATTCTAACATCACTCTAATTGGGATAATTCTAACATCACTCTAATCGTCCGCGTACAACCTAGCAGTGTCGGCCACCAACAGAGCCTATCACTCATGTGAGCTAACCCCTTAAAACAATCTCAAAAACAACCATACTCGCCACCGTGAACTAGAGCCTCTCACCTCATTCGTATAATATACCTACCAAGACATCTAAGTCTTCAGTACAGCCTTCAAAAGGGTGTGCCATAGGATTTATGTTGGTCAAAGTCAAATAAATGAAAATGTGTTTTTGAAGAAACGACACAGCTGCATAGCAAAACGTTGTGTTTTCTAAGTTGCAAAAACTAAGTCACAGAGCCCAGCCAGGGTAGATGATAGGCATAAAACAATCATTCAGTCTCCAATTCAACCACCGAACTGTATTCCACTAAATAAGATCGACTACATAGATTCCCTTCACCATATTAATCTATTAGAATCATACTTCTTTCTAAATTGTTAATCTCAAAATCATAATAATTTTTCTTAATCCTTTCTAAATTTTCATCTTCCTATAACTATTTGAACATCGAAGTCTATTTTTCAATATTTTCTCTACTATACAACTGTTACCTCCAACACTAGTATTTTCATTTCTAACCTGTCATGGATGAAGATGAAAGGGAAAAAGAACTCTCCCTAACATTTTCATTTATAATCTTATCATGGATGAAGAAAGATGAAAGGGAAAAATAACACAATGGAAGAAAAGGGTTAAGGTAAAAATAAAAACCATCAAAAAGCATTATAGTATTTGAATTTATTTCTATTTCCTTTAACATCTTCCATACAAGTATGAACTGCCAATAATTTGGCTTGAAAACAGAATCAAAAAAATTAGGGGGCAAAATAGCTCAACTTCCTATTTTATTTACACATTGTAACAGCTAAACCAGCTTGGCAAATGCCTTAACATCTTGGAAATGTGGCGATCCGTTTTGACTGCCTGCCATTAATAGTATATATAAAAAATCAGTAGTTATCAAACACAGAACAAAAAACGTAAAATATCAACATGCACATGCCTGCAGCATAGAATAATAGTTACATTGACAATCAATGAGACATTCCATTTCACCTGAACTATGTCACAACCTTTGATGAGCTTCTTAAACAAGACCATTATTTGAGAAGGAAGGAGAAAAGTACCAACCAAAAAGTAAGCCTGGAAAGTAAACCCTGATTCATCATATTAACATACAGGGTCTGGTTGGTTAGTCCATGACACTCATGATAAATCAAAGGATCCCTGGCCTTCATTGATTGCATACATTAGCTTCTTGTGCATAATTTCCTGTTTCAAATTGGACGACAAAGATCAGTACTCAAAGATGCTTAGACACATTGGATCATATAATCAGCATAGGATTATATAAGTATTGCACCAACCTTGGTAGAATATGGAGGAAGCTTAAGGTAATTTGCACATGTCATCACACTTGGCAAGTCATCATCTGCTGTTTCTGAAGGACCATTCCCATTGGATGCAGTATTAGCTGCGGTAGACGAGAGCTGCACCAAGACATCAGATTAACACTACTTTTTCAGACCATATTAACCTTGTACTTAAAAGTATAAAAATTATAATAAATTAAAATATTAAGTGTAACAACACACAATAGGGTCATGGGCAGAGTTCACATAACACAAATAGAGAATCAATTCCCCCCACCCAAAGTAAAAACATTCAAGCTTTGAGGCACAAAATCACAGGAAGTCGTGAAAGAACTAGAATACTGAAAGCACGGGAAGTTGTGAATGAACTAGAATACTGAAGGCATGTTGATCAAAAATATATTTTTAATACCTTTCTCACGATCGTTAATTTTGGATTTAGAACAGCCAATCCACCAGGTGGTAGCTTAGGTGCTCCAGTAACAAATTGACAGAAGGCACGCTGCTGCTCCGGTGTGAACTCTCCCATGATTTCAAGTAACTAAAAAAGCACCATGCAGGATGAGTATCAAATATAACACCTGAAATATTCCATAATACACTACTACACTACTGTTCTTATACATAGAAAAGAATCATACATTCACTATTGCGGGGCTCTTGGCAGTATACCCATGGTCAAATTTTATATGATCGGCTAGTGTCTCTGTCTGCAAACATGTCCAAAAAAAAACTTATGATTAAATTACTGATCATAAGATTTCAAATATTTTTGCAATAGGAAATCTCAGTAAAAACAATACCTTCCACATTTCCCGACGGCCACAAAGCAAATAATCCAATTCGTGAGGCGTAAATATTTGCAAAGATGAGACATCAAAAACCTAAATTCACACCGGCATAAGTGTACAAGTGACAAATGTTTAGTTCATTAAATTAAATTATGAACAAAGCATAAAACATGTTTTTCAACTATTATCCTGCCCATCTTTCGTATAAGAAAGGAAAGCAGCCTATTTCACAAATGAGCCAGAACTTGGCATTCAAAATACAGAATAATTCAAATCAACATAAGAAAAAAAAGTTTGTTTCTATCATTCTCTCTTAACTTGCAAGGTTGGTAGCCAACACAACTAACAGAAGAGAAACGAAAGTCTTATCATTTCCTAATTAATTAATCCAAGTGTGAGATTTAAAAGCTATATATGCACTTAACTGCTTAACAAAAACCATAAATTTAAGCACAATAGAATGCTCTGGAGGAAATAAATACATGGTACACAATTGAAGGCTTGCATCAATTGAAATCTAGTATAAGAAAGGAAAGCAGCCTATTTCACAAATGAGCCAGAACTTGGCATTCAAAATACAGAATAATTCAAATCAACATAAGAAAAAAAAGTTTGTTTCTATCATTCTCTCTTAATTTGCAAGGTTGGTAGCCAACACAACTAACAGAAGAGAAACGAAAGTCTTATCATTTCCTAATTAATTAATCCAAGTGTGAGATTTAAAAGCTATATATGCACTTAACTGCTTAACAAAAACCATAAATTTAAGCACAATAGAATGCTCTGGAGGAAATAAATACATGGTACACAATTGAAGGCTTGCATCAATTGAAATCTAAGAAGACAGCAACTAAAGCTGAAGGATAAATGATTAACATATTATTAAATTAATGTATTGTCAAGCTTAATATTCAATCTAATTGTTTGAGATGTAAAAGAAAAGGAATGGATGAAATAAATAGACGGGGAGAACAACAAATACGACACTTAATCAAGTTAAATAAAAAACCAAAACACTTCCCATTTATGAAGAAGACTTGCTAAGCATATCCACTAACAAAGTGTACAGTTAAAATTAAGTGAATTAACCTGATTGAACCCTGCTCTAAAGGCTTCCAGTTGCCGTGTTATTCCAGTTTTGACAGTGGCATCAACAACCATGGATATATAATCCTCTAGATTATTGAGGTCGACCTGAAATTTTGACAGCAAATTCAAAACAATTTTCACAATAAGAACATAAAGGAAAAGAATTAAAGATAGTGACTACGTACAATTTCATCCCCAGGCTTCAAAGTGTAATCTGGATAACCAGGAAGGGAAAAATCCAAACAGAGATCTGCAACCGGAGCTCCACGGTAATGCAAATTTGCTACTGTACCAGTATAACCACCACCAATAGATTCTATATTATGTTTCCGGCAAACAAGGGCATTCAACTCTTGCAAAGTTTTCCCAAGTTCAGTATCAATGTAAAGAATGTCGTGCAAATCAAGATCCTAAAAATCAAGGTTAAATATAGACCAAAATAGAATCAGTTTTAAGCTCTCAACAGTATGCATGAAGATGAGATATGAAAATTTTGCAACAACTTACCTGACCAAGAACAAGCTTATAAAAGGCTACAGATAACGGCAAATCTAATAGACGTCCATCTTGAAGTGCTTTAGCAACTACGCGGCCTAAAAGTCTGAAATATTCAATCACTTTAAAAAGCTGGCTACCTTCTGATGCTTCGGCATTCGCAGGCCAGGGACGAGGAAACAACCCAAGAGGAGCTTGAACAAGTTCCCCGTCTCTAGCAATATTACCTTCACTGCTTTTCTTTTTCTTTTCATCTCCATCAATATCCATTTGATCAGAACCCGATCTCCACATCTGAAGTCCAACTTTCTGCAAGTCATGACTTAGAAGTGTATAGAACTCAAGGGTGGGACCAAGGCCAGTGCCAACCTCGCCAAAATATTCTACTTCAAGTACAGCCTTTTGGCTAGAATACATTTCCATCACTTTAGCAGCAGAATCCAAAATGCGGTTTCGAGAGACACGGACCTTTTGGCGCTGCAGCCTTCCAACCCTAACCTCTCTTTCATTTGTTGATCCATGACCATCGGCACCCTGCTGCTGCTGGAGTCGATACAATGCACGAGATAACCCAAAGGCAGTTGAATAGAAGTACTGTCTTCGGACCTCAAATGGAAACAAAAAAGGGCATGCCTTAGTTAACTGGTAACACCATGAGGGGAGACTCCCACTGCATAGGGCAAGGGCATCTTGTATCTGTCTAGCTAATTTTGGAGTAAGCTTGCTGCTTATAAATTCATCCGGTGGAACCTTGGAACCTGTGGCAACAACTAGCTCGTCTAGATCCAAAAATTTTCCCTCAGCAAAGCTATCAGTAGCCACTTGGGCCCTCAAACGAGGTGCAAGCTGGTTTAAACCCTCCAGCACACGCAATAGAGCCAATATATCATATGTGGGATTAGATTTCTCCAGCTCACACGGCAATTCTCCCAGCAAGATACTATCGATTAAAGATGTCTGATGCAACTTGACTTCAGCACCGCAATTTGATACAGACCCAGATTTACTAGATTTAGAAGTGTTAGAACTTGGGCCTCCTGGGGTAGCCCTATCTGTTTGGCTATCTGCCTTCTGATAATTTATTATGAAAATATCACCCCACATCCTGCTTCCATCACTCGACATAAAGTCGCTACTAGCAAATCTCTCATCATCATCTTCATCTTGTACAAGCTGTCTTTGAACTGCTTGATAAATAGTCAACTGCCTGTTGAGTTGTTTACCGCCTGCAGTGAATATTAACTTCGGAGGATCATTAGAACTACCAAACAATGGACGCCCTTGCCGATCTCTGCCACCCCTGATTCCTCTGCTATTGGCAGATCCAAGTCCAGCCATGGCAGCAGCAGCAAATGACATAGCACCTCGTGAGCTAGAAGAATAGCCACTCTTAAAATCTGCAGTGTCTGATGCTCTGACTGAACCAACTTTGCTACTAGAACCAGAAGCCGCATTAGTCTGGCCATCGTTAGTTACAGGAGTAACAGTACTCTCCTCAGCTGAGTCTCCCAATTTCACATCATGTACTTTGTCAGGTACACAAACAGGAAGTGAGTCGTCCCTCAGCATCTGCAACAGAAAAAATAATACAACGAAAATTTTGAGTAGATGCAAATGAACTTAAGGACAGGGTTCAATCTTGGTTGAGTATATTCAATGAATTTTGTTAACAAATAATTTGTAATAAAAAACAATAATAAAATATTTGTTTGATTGAACTGAAAACAAAAAGGATAAACAGCAAACATAGTTCTGGTAATTAAAAATAAAGATGTAATCAAAATTTAGCATCAAAAGATAAATGATATCATAAATAAGAAAATTTAAGCCAAAGAAAAACATGCTAGACTACATACATCTTCGTGGTCATCATCTTCATCATCATCAGAAATATCATCATCATCTTCGATAACCAAAGCCTCATCAATTTCAACAGGAGATATATCTAAATCTTCATCCTACATCACAACAGTGGAAAATATTGTCAACAGAGAAAAACACAGATAAAAGCTATCACCAGTAATAAAATACTTCATGAAACATTAATTAAGTTGAGCTTGATTCAAAGCACAGAATGGAAGACATGCTTTCCATACAAGTAAAGCCCAATCCACAGCATTTTGAGTGAGGGAAGATAGTTTTTACTCAGCAGATCCTATCAATGGTTTAATAACAATAACATGGCTAAATAACAATTAGCATGCATGTAGAATTGTAAACTCATATTAACTCATACTGAGTGGGGAGAAAAGAAATAACTCAATGAAGTACTTAGAAGAGCACTTTGGTCAGACATCACACAGGCATCTTTTAGGAGTTAATTTAGCACTATTAAGTATTTCTCCAAAAAACTGAAACTTAAAATTGCATGGTTGGCCAGATCTTCCACTTCCATCCTCTGCTTTCGCAGGTGCTCAGGGAAAGAGAAAAAATCATGGCATCGTGAACTAGGATTTGAAAGTATACCTCAGAAGTAGAATCCCCATTTGCAGGCTTCATTTGAACATCCTTATCAACAGCTGCTCTTCTGCGTGCAGCATTCCTTGTTTGAGGTCCTCTTGCCGCCTCTTGTGCAGGCTTTAATACAGCTTTTCCCTTACCCTTAGATGAGCTCAAGGTTTTATCTTGAGTTAATTCTTTTCTGGTGGTATCCCCTAAACTAGCCGAAGATCTCGATCTCGTAGAATGACGACGGGTAGTGGATGGAGTAGAGGTAGAAGGAGGTGGAACACCAGCTCCTACAGGACTTGTCCCAGATTCAGAATTCCCAGCAGGTACATTGGACTTCTGAGCAGATTCATTTCGCTGGATACGAGGCCAAAGAAAATCTTCAATGGCTGCTAAACTAGCTAATGGATCAATCAATACAACATTGCCTGAATAATCCTTAAGTGACTTTTCCCCCTGGGCTCGACAAAGACGCAATTTGAAGGGCTGGGATAATGCACTTAGTCCAGAGGAAAGGCGCGCACTTCCACTGGATGACCTAGGTGATTGACTCAGCAAAACAGGGAAACGCTCCATTGAGGACAAAGCATTTTGAAGCTTTTGAATCAAGACAGTCATAGGAGTTACATCCTCATTGTCAATAGTGGCAGGCAGTGCAACAGTAACAAATAACTTAAATCTTGCAAGTGCTTGTTTGCGAAGCTTAGGCAGGTGGGTTTCTGAGGGTTTATCTTTAGAGAAATACCCACAAGACAAATAATTCAGCAAAGTTGCAACAACACCACTACCAATAAATTCAAAAGTTGATACACCATCTCCTTTGCCAAGTTCCTTTAGCATTTCAGATATGACACCAGTTAAACACTCCTCCAGACCAAATCCAGAAGTTTTAGATTTCCCCTTACCATTAGTCCTTTGGTCATCAACACCGGCATTTAACTTCATGCAAAGATTTCTCAGATGCAAAAGATCATCTGTAACACCCACTTCAGCAGCCCCGGGATCCGAAGGAAAGTACTGATCTTTAAAAGTTTTTGCAGCTGCGCTAACAGATAACCGGATACTAGAATTTACTGTTGGAATATTTCCAGAACTTGGAGGTGAACCAACATTAACTGAAACAGGACTCTTGATATCGTCCAAAGGATTTCCATCGGGATTGGAGTTGCCAGAGCGTCGCCGATTACGCCTAACGCGAGACGATGCTCCAGGTAAAGAATCAGTATCCTTCTCTGCAGTAGATGCTTGTGTTGAGACATTGGTTGAATTTCCCGGCAAAATAAGTAGGTCCACTGCATGAACGACACCTTCTCTGATAAACATCTTAGAGAAAGTCTCGGGCAACTTTTCCATTAGAATTTCAGCAATTTGCAAGGCAGGTGTCAATACATGTGGATCTTTTGATGCCAAGACTCCAGATAAGAAACTATATGATCAAAGTAGCAATGCATAAATTTACCAAACCAGTAAAAACAGTGATAATATGGAGCAATATCAATCCAGGAGTAAAATTTCTAGATACCTTGATATATTTGTCATGCTTAACAAAGACTGGATCATCTCTGATGGGCTGAAATACATCAATTTTCCAATGGCCGAAAGACATTTGTGCCGAACTGGTATATTGACACTAGAACCATATATCTGTTTCAAACACACACCACCGCCATCAGTTATTATCAAATAGCCACGTGAGGAAGCAAGAGCATTTTAACAAAGCCACTTCTTTGGATGGGACAAATTTTTGAAGCAAAATTAATGCATGTAATTAAAGCAATAAATGTCAACCTGTATTAAAACCGGGAGGAGATCCATCCCAAATTGCTTAAGTAGCTCAGGCTGTTCATTTAATAGCTTTTCGCGGGCAGATATCTCAGGAGGATTTCCATTTGTGTCTTCTTGTTGCGCAGAACTACCAGCAGGTGACTTTTTAATAACAGGCCCCTTCACAAAGTTGGTGCTGGTAGGGAGGGAAATAGTCCCTTGTGGCAATGGGGGGAGAAGCTCATTTGCCAGATTTACAATCTCAAATATCTGTGTATGAGAACATAGAATTAAAATGATTCCATCTATCTGAAGACAACAAGGATCCAAACCACGAACGTAGGTGAAAATGTGTGATTTGCACCATAAACAGAAAAAACAACACACGTAAACCTGAAGAATAATTCGGAAGTACAATATACCTGCTCTGGTGGCCTACTTAATGCAGGAGAAACAGAGGTATTAGAAGAAACTCCAGAACCAGAGAGAATATCTTTAAGAATACCACTAATTCCAAGAAGCAACAAAGTTTTAGCTCCAAGAGGGGACCCGCTTGCACAAGTTGAAAGAAGTCGTATTAAACCCTGTGTATACATTGAAGTCAAGAACCAACAACTATAGGACAAACCATTGGACTTAGAGAGAAAATGCACTTACGGTATATGTTGGCGTACTGAGAGAAGCTTGTCCGCCTCCAGAACTGCTGTTTGAAATGAGGGATGCAGCTTGTGTTACCAGTCCATGATTGCATAATTCATCTAATTTATCCGAAGATGATGCAAATGCTTCAGCTATTCGAGTCAAGCAAACAGAGGCATGCTCCAGGACCTACAAAAGTAAATTGCATAACATGAAAATATAATAAATTAGTAAAATATGGGTTATAGGGATCAAAGTTTACCCCGGGTCATACAAAACCTTCTTAATAGCTAAAAATATGGATGTTGCAGGGAAAAATACAGATTTTGTCACATGAAAAGTCTGATGATAACAAAACACAGGCTTACCTTGGAATCATGGTACTGAAGGAGGTTTGTCAGAAGAGGAACAGCCTCCATTACAAAATCAGCTGCATCTGAAGGAAGCTTCTTGCACATATTTGCAGCAGTAGACAAAGCAACACGCTGAAACATAGAATTTTGTCAATATACGTTTCTAGCTGAAGTGCCTATCGCCAAACAAATTGTAACTATATCATCTAAAATGTAGGTGATCACTGATAACTAACCTGAACTCCAGTTGAGAAGAAGTCTAAATAAGAGAGTACGGCCATGAGAGCCCCAGCTCTTAGGCATGCAGTTGGGTGCTCCTGAGATATCTTCTTAAGAGCTTGAAGGGACTGTCATGTTAACAAACACAACAATTAAACAACTAAGAATCTCATTTCCAGATTAAGGACTGTCATGTTAACAAACACCGCAATTAAACAACTAAGAATATCATTTCTAGAATAGAGTCGCTGATAAACAAATGCATATATCCTATAAACAACATAAATTTAGATCAAGGAACCTCAAATTTAAACGATTAGACATTTTTTAAATTCAACATAAAATATTCAACACTTGCCCAAAATTTTCAATGCAATTTTCACTAATAATATAATGGTCATGAAGTAGGGAAAAACCTGCTCGGCCAAATCCATATACTCGATGGTGAGCAACCTCGCACAGAATATTGAAACGGCTCCATAATGCACAACAGCTGCACAAGACGAAGGGAGCACGTCACAGAGATGTGTTAGCGCCCTTGCTGCAAGAAGCATGATATCAGGATTGCTCTCATGATTCAGCAACCCAACGAGGACAGGCACAAACGAATCAACAGAGAAAGTACTAAGTGAATCCTCAGTCCCAATAGAAAGCATTTCACAAAGCTGCGTCAAAGCCTCCACCTGTCGACCTTCCTCCCCATCTGCCCGTAGCCCAAACAGTATCTTCTTCAACCTCCCATTCTGATGAGAGGACGAACCCATCCCGGATGACGGAAGCAGATCATCCAAACCAGCACCAAGTTTCCTAAGAAGCCCTTGGAGTGCACTACTCGCAGATGTTAAATTCTGATGCAACAGCCCAGCACCACTGTCACTGTCGTTATCATCCTCATCCCCTGCAGCAGTCTCCATATTCAACGCCAGCCCTCTTTCCGCATCCCTTTCCCTAATCCTAACATCGTGCTCCTTCTCCTTTCCCTTATCGGAGCTATCCCTTTCCGAATTCTTTCCACGACGATCCCGTCGTGAAGCTGAGGACGATTCATTGTTGGAATCCATAGGAGGAAGATTCTTAGCTGGTAAGGATTCTTTGTTTCTGGACGCACGTGTACGAGTGTTAACAGACCGAATGGGAGTGGTAGCGACGGCGGTTGTTGCGGTGGCGGAAGACGTAGAAGTGGAAGAAGAAAGACGAGAGCGCTTGTTAGGACGAGTTTTAGGACTGGATGAAGAAGATGAAGGGGCAGCTGAGGAAGCCTCCGCCCGCTTCCGACTACGAGTTTCCATACAAAAACCAACCCACCCCGCAATTCGTCAACTCGCTCGCCAGGGAGCGTCTATTACAGTATTATCCACGAGATTTTCACAATCATTCGCAGCTTCGGATCGATCGAATTTCGTTAAATTGAATCAATCAATCAATTAATCCCCGATTCGAAACCCTAGAAATTATTCGGTGATAAATCGATCGTGCGTGTTTTGAATTAACGTGTTCGATGAGATTCGATTGAAAGTGTGTGGTAGACAGAGATATAAAGATATTGAAATAGGGTTGTTGCAGAAAACCCTAACGCAGGGAAAGGGGGAAATGGAGAAGAATAAAGGGGCAAAGGAAAGCGAGGCTTTTTTTATATGCAAGTTTCTTTCTTTATAAACTTTTCTTTGGATTTTTATTTTATATTTTTTGTTCGATGGATTGGTCACTTTCAATAAACGCAACTCTCAGCGACCTACTCTCGGTGCTAATGTAACACAGCGGCGCCTATATTTATCTTGAAACGGCGTCGTTTTGCCAATATATGTATACGTGCCAAAATCATGTGATGGCTGTGTCTGGGTTAATATGGTGATCGGAAATAATTTTAAGGAATATTATTTTTTATCTCTTTGAGGGATGATGTATTTATAGAGATTTTAATGTTTAGGGTTTTTTTGGTAAAGATCATCGTTCACTTAATCAAAATAGAGGACGATTAAATCCTTATTTCCAAGGGACATGTGAGTCGGTAGCTACTCTGATTTTCTCTTTATCCAAGACATGTCTTACCCCCACATTTTTTCTTTCCTAGGGGGGAAGACTTAAGGGCGAGGCGATACCTCCCTTTGGATGATCATGTGTGTCTTATCTTAGGGTGATCCTTGGATATTATCGTAGGTAAGATGTTTTACAAATATAACATTACACAGTCCCTCAAGCATAAGAACTTCGGCAGAGGGAGAAGTACATGTGTCTAATAGGAGTATCTTGAGAACCTCGTGAGGTTTTTAATTGACTTTTTAGGAATATAGGCTTTTCCATACTTACTAATGCGTAACTTTATCGATGTGGACGCGTTTAATTAGTTATAAGAAAACTAAGTTCCTCAGACGTTGTATCGCTTAGTCTGTCTGGCGAGATGCTGAGTCCCTCGAGCGGTTGTTTAACCTTTCAGGATGGACTTTCATTAAGTCCTCTAGCAAGACTTGACACTAAGTCTTTGAGGCTTGATATATGTTGTGCCCCTTATGCGTGATTATTGGGAGATAATCTCGTTAAATGAAGGTATGGTTTTATGATTGCCTCGAGGGACGGCAAGGATCTTCGATATGAAGTCTAGTTATGTAATTGCCTCGAAGGGAGGCAGGGATCTTTGTTATGAAGTCTGGTTATGTAATTTCCTCGAGGGGAGGCAAGGATCTTCGCTATGAAGTCCAACTGTGTAATTGCCTCGAGAGGCGACAAATATCTTTGCTATGAAGTCCAACTATGTAATTGCCTTGATGGGCGGCAATGATCTTTAATATGAAGTCCAACACACATATATTGTTGAGAGGGGAGATGTCATTGGTACAAGTAAAACAATTGAATGATTGTTCTGAATTACATGGGCATAATGTTTATTAGAAAGTTATAAAATAATTTTAATTATAATAATATCAGAGATGAAGGGTGTTCCAACTTTTGGATAGAAATAGTTCTTCAAGCTCCTGCAACTCATATGCTCCGTGAGGGAGTTTCTGGTATATATGTAATATGGTCATTCTCAGTTAGGCTACAGATTCCCCTACTGTGTAGGTATGACTACCTCATTTATCAGCTACCACTAGGCCACCCTTCTGCATTTATTTATTGATGTGACTGTTGGAGGCTCCCTTGTTGACTTCCTCTAACACTAAGGTGATGTCACTCTCATCTAAGAACCTTAATGTGGGAGTAGTCATCCCTATTTTGTAAAAATTCCCTGAGAGTAAGGTGTATTTGTTAGGTTTTCTTCTGATCTTTCTCGTTTCTCCCTCATCTGGCAGAAGTTCACCCGATTGTGAGTAGCAAAATATGGGCGACATCGAATTGGACTCGGGGACGAGTTCCAAGGATTAAGTTTCATCTGCCTCAATGCTATGAGAGGTGAGGGTCTCTTGTATGACTAACTTATTTAGGGGTGTTCAAACATGAATCAACCCAATAGTAAACTGCTAATTGAACCAAACCAAATTGAAACCGTAAAAAACCGCATTTGGTTCGGATATGTTTAGGTCATTTTTAACAAAATTGTGCGGTTCAGTTTGGGTTGTAGTTTGTATTTTACAAACTGAATGAAACTGCATTATATTACAACTCAAACTTCACTTAACCCACATCCAACCCAAACTCAAATCTATTATGTCTTAGCCTTACGATTACAAATGATTTTCTCTTCCTCGCACTTAAGATTTCAGTTTAAGTCTTCTCAAATCTCGCCTAGCGGTATCACACATTCTTCTTATCTTCTTTTCCACGTACATTTTGCTATTCTTCTCTAGTCTCTCATCTCTTGTGTTCTTTCTTTTTCATCTTCTTATTTTTATTCTACCGTTCTTTCTTCCAATTACGTTTTTAATGCAATTCTTCTTCTCTAATCTCTCATTTTTTCTGCTCTTTCTTTTTCATCTTCTCTAATCTTTCATCTCACGTGTTTTTTTGTTTCATTATAATATTTTGGATATTGTTTTATGCTACTATTTTATGTTTTTTATTTCACTTTTCTCTAATCTTATTTTTGTATATTAAATGGAAAATTGTTGTTCAAATATGATGAATTTTGTTGTTATTTGATAGCACATAAATGACTAAATACAAAATTATATTGTCATTTTAGTCATTTATATGTGTATGTATGGCTTAATATTTTTTTTGTAAAAAACGGCACCAATCGAACCAACCCAAACCGCATTGGGTTGGTTTGATTCAGTTTTATTTCTAAAAACCAACCAAACCAAACTGAATCACACATTTTTTCTCTTGCGGTACAGATGACTTCTTACATCAAAACTGCATTGCGAACACCCTTAGTCCTGTTAAACCCTGCGACCTTCGAGGTAGCTAGTTTATACAAGAGATCTTCCCTGAAGTTCTATTCACGGGGACATGTTCTACTTCAAATTAGAGGAAAGATGAGGATAGATTTTGTACCTTTTGCGTATATTTTATTAGCAGGGGCTTATACCTGGTTGGCTACCTACTAAGAGTCACTTTTGGACTTTAATATGATAGTTTCTATTTACAAGGCGAGGATCATACCGATAATGAGAGGCTCATGTTTGCTTGGTTGTTGCTAGCGGTGAACTTAAACTTCAATGCTTGTTTAATAACTACATCACTCGGTCCTTCAGGCACTATTCTAACACCACTTTCTTTTATGTTGAAGGAGTCGTTCATGGATAACGCCCATTCTGGAGGGGGATCCTCTTTAATGGGTAAGTTGAGCTTGACTATAAAGTCGGCCAGGGCTTAAGACTTGATGTTCCCTCCCTTGGAACATACTAGATATCGTATTCCAAGAGCTCTATTGACCAAGATACCATTCTTCTCACCAAATCGGGTTTCTTCAACACTTGATGGGTGGGATAGTTAGTTTTCACCAAGATAGTGTTCCTTTAGAAGTATGGTATGAATTTTCTCACCGCGGTGAGGATGGCTAACGCCAATTTATCAATATTTTGGCAGCGTATCTTCGCTCCCTTGAACACTTTGCTTAAGAAATACACATGTTTCTTTGCTTTATCTATCTCCCTGACGAGGACGAAGCTCATCTCCTACTCGGTGACTGAAAGGTATATGAGTAGAGGTGAGCCTTCCTTCTAGCGAGTGAGGATCAAGGGAGATGTCAGGAACTCCTTGACCTTGGTGAAGGCCTCCTCACACTTGGATATCCGTTCAAACTTCTCCTTTATCCTCAGGGTTGTGAAGAAATGGAAGGTTATATCGCCTGCACTTGAGAGGAAGTGAGATAGAGCATTGAGGCACCAAGTGAGTTATTATACTTCCTTCATGTGGGTGTGGCTTCTCATATCGATGACCGTCTGACACTTGTATGGATTAGATTCAATTTATCGTCTTGTCATCATAAAACCCATAATTTTCCCTATTTGAACTCCAAAAGAGCACTTGGCAGAATTTAGGCGCACGACATACCTTATAACTTACTGTAGGATGTCTTCTAGGTCGTCGGAATGTCTATGTCCATCCGCCATTTTTATAATCATGTCGTCGACATACATCTCTAGATTTCTCTCAATTTTATGGGCGAAGACCGCGTCCATAAGTCGTTGGTACGTGGCGCCAACGTTCTTGAGGCCGAAGGGCATGACATTGTAGTGGTAGTTATTGTGGTTCGACATGGAGGTAGCTTTGGGCATATTCAGGGGATCCATCCTAATCTTGTTGTATCTTGGGTAGTGTTGGCTTGGAATTTCGATTAGAGTGGTTGTTTGAACGCATTAATATTGTTTTTGGTGTTTGGGCTTCGTTTGGATTGAATTGAGTAAAAGCCCAAGCGTTTGAAATGGTTCGATGGACAGACAAAACAAATATAATAAATATTCGTTAAGTATATTTTGAAATCAAAAGTTTTTGGATATATACGTCGAAAACTTGGAGCCGACAGAAGAGAGGAATTTGAATTTGAAATTAAATGTTTGAGTCATAGAAGACGCGTGGAAGTTTGGTGGGTTCGAAGGACATGCAATCTTCGAACGTGGCACTCTATTATAGAAAGACCGTTAGGGTCAAATTAGTATAAATAGGGATCTTAATGTTAGGATTCAAGGTGTGTTCATTTTGTACAAATTACTCAATATACTCGAAGTACCAAGTGTTAGAGAAAAGAGTTGCATAAAATGTACCTACAGACATCATTATTGTTCTTTTCAAATCATTTTACTTTATAAATATCAAGTCTTTTAACATTTTTGGTATTTACTTTACTTTTTAGTCAGAACTTTTACTTTTTCAAGTCATTTACATTTATTCTGCATTTTCTTTATGTTTC